CGATGCGAAGGTTGAACATCAAAAAAATGGGTGTATTACACGCCGATCCTCACAGGATAATTCGCGCGAATTTACGCGAGGAAATCATACGAGTTCACCAACGTGTATACGCTACAAATTAATTCAATTTAACCTTTATTATATGTTTGTTTTGTTCGTATTTATATACACCGACCGTTAATGATTTTCATCATGTAAAAGAGACATCGCAAATCCGGCCGCTGATACAGGTATTTTTCATTTCAATTTGCGAAAAAATTATTCGTTGACCTAAATAACGTTGTTATTTATAGATGGACCAACACAGACGATTTTCACGCGGAAGGGAATAAGTATATTTCGGTGTACCTGCGAGTTGAAGAATAATGAAAATAAAGCGACTAAGCGGAGGTTAAATGGAATCCGAGCAGTAAGACATCAGGATTTCAATTAAATTCCGTAGGTAAACAAAAATAGAACTATTCATTAAACAAAACAGACAACAATGAACGTTTGAATTAAGTGAAAGCATCAGGTGACAAAAATATCAATGAAAAGTTTTGCTGGTGATTTTAAATGATGAGAATTCTTTGAAAAATGTGTAATATCAAAAATTAACTAGTCAATGCAAAATCAGGAATAGGTAAATGATTTTTTACAGTAGATATAATTGACTCTGATAGATTTTTTCTTGTCCTTTGCTTACTTTCCTTCCTATTCGGTTCATGTCGTGTACCGAATACTACATAACATAGGAGAAATTTTGAGCAACAGGAAATTAGAAATAGATTGTTTTAACGTACCTATTGGAGCATTAGAAGAGGCAATTTAGGACTAATCACTTCCGACAAATGTTTAGATTAATTGTGTTTCCAAGTAGCTTCAATTTCCACTGAAACATATTACCTACTTGTGTATAATTTGATCCAATCCATTCATCATTTGCTAAAGCTTTATTTAGACCATTACTCGATTAATTTCCCCGAAATAGGCCACTTAGCAATTTTTTTTCATTGATTTGTCAAACAAGCCTCTCGTTTTTTTAAATCTTAATTAAATATTTTCCATCACAATTTCATTTTGTGCGTGGCAGGCGAATTATGAATTCCAACATGAAAAAAGACTTAAATGACTTTTAAGGTGTTATAGCTTGTTTATTCTTTGCGCGATTTTGTTACGGAAAATATCAGTCTCAGTTTAACCCACTTTCTCGTTAAGAAACTCATTAAAACTGTTTAGATTTCGGCGTGCCCCATAGAAAAGGACTTTAATCCGCGGGTTTGGTAATAAGGCGAAATTTTACAATAATTAAAACGCATCTCTTCCCTTTTGGCGTTATTAATACAAGTTCTTACGCTATTTTCAGCCTTCAGGATATTGCAGTTTTATAAAACTCACAAAAGGGAGGAGGATGGGATTGATGATTAATATCGAGTTACATTCGAGTACCATATTGTAATTCATAAATATTTTACTCGTTAGGGATTTTACTGGTTTTAATAAGGCATGTCTAACAAGCAGTCACTTTTATGTATGCTTCAAAACACGTTTAATGAAACCTTTGAAACGCCAAAGTACTCCTTCCCATTCGAGATATTCTCAATTGAAATTAGCGCTCGACAAACTTCCCCATGCGCCAACTCCGTATAAAATAACGTTCAAACAGAAGTTCGGGCGAACCAAACACGAAACGCTTATTCCCGAAATGTCCTGCGGAGATCCACAACAAAGCTGTAGGTATCACATAACGTTTATTAGCTATATTTGGGTGCGCCGTAATTAAAAGTTTGGGGAATTGATATCCGAGTGTTTCGGATTAGGTGTATGATTAAAACGAACATTTCGTTGCGGAAATCGTTTTAAGTTATAATTTATTCGTATTCCAACAACGATTTGTTGTTTGAAGATCACTGCTGATGTTCGATATTAAAATTAATTAGGAACAAAAGCAACAAAAGGAGATCTAAAGTTTGATGAACCAAAAATGTACTCAGATACTTTGAAAAAATATTAACAAAACTATATAAGCACTAGGGTTATGAATTATGAATATAGTAACTTTATTATTAGTGAAGCTGGGTGTTTAATATTTACTGAAATGATTAGCCAAAATGAATAGAACTATTATTAAAGCTTAATGTAGCAAGGAGATTAATAGAGATTTTAGATTCAAGTAGAAAGTTTTTTAGAGCCTTTGAGCTTTCATTTTAATATTTAAAATGGAAATATTCATAAAACCCAGATATTGATAGAAGAAATTACTTCAATTTTTGATCAACATTAAGGGCATAACTTTTTCACCTTTTGTAGACTAATTTAATTGACTATTCAGCGACTCGTTGAATAACAAACGAAAGCACTAAAAACTTCGGGACAGAACAAACTTTTAGCATCTAGTCATTCAACCGCCATCCACTTATTTTGCGAGATTTCACGATGATCTATAGAGTTTTGTGATTATTGCTCTCGACTTCTTGGTTTGCGGAAGAATTGAATTAGACATTCGTGAAGCACAAAGCGTGCCTGGATTCAGGCCACACTGCACCAATAAAGTTCTTTTATTTCTAATTTAGTTGATATAACGCATTGTGGAAACTTGCGGATGCGATCGAATTAAATTCTTTTAAAAACGGGTAGTTGAAAATTTTTGTATTCTATACAGAAATAAGTAATAAATAACGTGAAACAAGAACATAAGAATAGGTAAAGTACAAAGGGTGACTTTATTTCAGTTGTAAATTGGTATTAAAATCCCTACATTTTCAAAACGACGACGTTTTTTTAATTAAAATGAATTAACCGAACAGCCATTTTTCAGGAGGCTGACTTATTTTAATTCCGTTGACTTCGTCAGAAAATTCTCATTTACTTCGTGCGGAGAAGGAATTATTTTTCATAACATCTTTCTTCCATATAAGAAATCGTCTGACGTTTAATTTAAAATGAAATACGAAAATCAAACATCTCCAGATATTAACGTTAAACATCCGAAATTGAGTAACTATGCAAACTCCTTAAATAAAGCTATTACAAGAGACGTTTAGCAAATTGCCAGTTTTGCTGAGCAACCAAAACTAGCGCAGAAGCTTTTAGTGCTTTTATTTACAATACAACTAACTTGTACAACTACTAAAAATTGTTTTACAGAATATTGTATCATTCTGTGCGAGCGTTACCAACTTTTATTAAAATCGAAATATACTATTTGTAAATGTGCCAAATAAAAACCCTCAAAACTAATTTCGGCAAGATTACACCTGCACTTCCAGCCCCGCAAAACACCTTTCAAAAACGCCGACGCTCCACTCGTTCCAAGATGAGAATTTAATATTAAAGTTGTCGACTTCCCGCCTCGGAATTATTTGGTTTTCGACTGTTTTGAGATTGAATTTACACATGGAACGCGAAAACGGGCCCGGCTTTCTATGCTTCAATTATTAGACAAGACGAAATGCAAATTGGACCCCACTCGGTCTCGTCGAGTTTATTTTAATTTCGCCCGCGTTATTTTCAGTCAACGCCGAAGCGAGAAGCCCGAAAAGGTGGAGGTAAAAAATTGATTCCGGTATTCGAGAGTGCGTTCTAAATTTTGAATGTAATTAAATGGATAATTGGAAAATAAATAAGATTCTTTAGGAAGGTATTTGTATTCGGTGAATTCGGCGTAATCATAATTTTTTTTTGGTAGGTATCCAAGGCAGCAATTTCATCGTAATAGTAGATTATTTTGATTACATATTTTTTTAAGAGGATTTTGTTTGAAAAATATTTGAAGAATTTTAGATACTTACCTATTCCTGCAAGATTTTGCAATGAAGATAACAAGATCATAAATACCTATTGAATGTTTTCTAAGTCAACTTTAACCGAATTTTAACCTCATTATTGCATCTACAATCTCTTTTAAATTAATCATCCAAATCTACTGCACCGAATTGTAATTCCTTTTTTTTGGATTAGGGGACAGATCTAACAGAAATTCCCATTTCCACGTGTCAGTCTTGTTCGATAACTCAGGGGGGCTCCCGTCTCAATCTTTCACGCTAGTGAACGTCAAGCCAAAGTGAATAGGAATTCCTTGATGGATAAATTTGATTATGTGGTGAGTGAATTTTTGAGATAAAGATGACCTACTTGCGCTATGTATAATGCAGCTGTTGCCGAGCATTTGGCGAAACTTGAAGTCTATGGCAAATTGCATTAGAGTTCCGACTAAAATTTAAATAAGTAATAAATAAGTTTAATTATCATGTCCTGCAACTTGAAACAAATTTATTGAAGAAATTAAAGATGACAAGTTTTAGGTTACATTTAATAAAATCTTCAAATTGCTAAAAATATTCATATCAAACTTGTTCTCTGGGGTCTTTCCGAGCCAAGACAGTATATTTTTTGGACTCTCCTTTGCTCGGAGTTTCACTCTCTCGCTATGAATAAAAATCTTCTTGTTATAATTACGAAATTTCCGGAAGGACGATTTCCTTTTTTCCTGAGTGACACGTGGAAATGGAAACTTTTATTGAAGACATCCGTCGCTGGTTTTCCCATTTTCTGGCGAGAGATCTCTCAATTTGGATAGAAATAGGGGTTGGATAGTGATCAATGATCATTGATTCTCACCGGCAGGATATCGAAGTTGGCCTCGTTTACAGGGTGGCCCATGAATAATAGGCCAGATAATATCAATGGATCGATGGTAGTAAAATATTGGGGTTTAATTATAACCTCACTTAAGATTTCTTAGTGAAACTTTTGGGAGTTAATATTTTATAATTTTTGATGCTTTTTGCTTGAAAATTAATTTTCCTTATTAAAGTTTTAACAGCTAGGAGTAATTTTATTTATTTAAGCAATGCAAAATTTATTCTGTTCCACACATTAAAAAAGTTTGCGTATTTTTATTTGTTTACTACGGAGTAATTTTTCAAATGCCTACATTAATATTTAAGACAATTTTTAAGTTGATAATATTGAAATTTCAAAAATCTACAAGCTACAAATAGTCGCAAAAACGTACTCACGTTCGAACCGCAGCTCATAATAAAATTAATTTTTCGCGTCTAAAAAGTTCAAAACGTCCATATTCGAAAAATCCCACAGTTCGAAGAAAAAAAATCCACAACAACCGTCGGCTCCGGAAGTTTCCCTGGCGCGACTTCGGAAACTAGAACACCGTCCAAAACCGACCAGTGTCTTTCTCTCTCATTGATGATACTATCTCAAAGAGGCGTCGGCGATGCACATGTACGCGCGACCTTGGCGTCCTCGTACAGACTGGTTGGCGTCCCGGCGACCGGACTCGCGGCGTCGCAACGCAAGCGCCCCGTCTTCAACGCACGGGACCCGATTCGGATGTGTTTTAATTCAACCCTTTGGATTTACATAACCCTCGGATTATTTTGTATCTCGTGTATTTTCGGGGAAATTGAGGCACTTAAATTTTCGGAAACTCGTTCGATGAAAACGGGAATGACGTTTATTTACAAGGGATGATTAGAAATTTGTTGGAAGGGCGAAAAGCGCTTGTTTCAATGCTCTTCAATGAAGCGTGCTTTTGAGGATTAAACGCATTGTAAACAAAATAAACGGTTATCCACCTACATCGGAATAAAAAAGTTAGCTCATAAATATAAAGTACTGGGGGTCAACTATAATAGCATTAATAAAGTTAATAAAGTAGTGTTTTAAAAAAATATTAGAGAAATTACCTAAAATTTTCTTTAATTCTCCCTCTAACCAAAACCTTTTTACCTCCTTAGAAAAGAGCTTTAATGAATTATAAGAGTCTAAAAGGAAATCGCAGTGTAAATAGGATTTTGTGCATGATGCACCTCTGTAATATCTCAATTTCGCTTGCTATCCGTATAATGAAACTTTAATCCTTCTTCAGTCTCGACTAGAAGTGGTATGGAAGTATATTACATTTTTATCAATCCAACTCTTTTGTAACATGGTTATACTTACATCGCTTTGACGCACAGAGACTAAATATTGAATGTAATATATGAAGATTTCAAATGATGGAATGAAACGAAAAAAAAATATCTTCTTACATTTTAATTGCCCAAAATAAAGTAATTATTCTGCAGAGACTACTAACTATTAACAATCTGTACTGTAATTTTGAACACAGCGTCACTTACAACGAACGGGGCTAAATTATCTTAATTAACTAGCTCAAGTTAATTTTAGCTCTAACGTATTCACCGGTAGGGCTTGACACGCCATGCACTTTATTCCAGCAACCATATTTCAATAACTCCAATCCCCTGAGCATTATTTCCTTAAACCTCACATACATAATTCTAGCAAGAGAGAGGAAAGCTGGTAACTACTTACAAAAACTTTGCGCAGATCTTAAACTAGAAAGGTACTTGGTAAATTTCCTTCATAATCCCCGTCCGTTGCGCCCGGTGTATTAGCTATTTATATCGAAAAATTTTCCCCTGTCTGCTGCTTCGAATTATCCGCACCCTTAAAGGACACGCCGGGATTGCCAATGGACTCGGAGCCGAACAGCTAAAAAATTTACGAGCCATTTTTTCACTTAGTTCTTTGGACTAATGGACGTTTCAAACGATTAGACAAAGAATAATATCCTGCGAGCATTTAAAGTTGCTCATGAATTTTCTGCACCTTCATGAATTTTATATCGCCCCCCGGAGCTCCGAAGGTGCGTTGACTTTAAATGACGTTCCGGTAAATGATTGAAGACCGAATAAATTTCGAGAAATAATATAGTGTAAGTAATATAGTAAAGGTTTTCAGAAGAGGAAACAACCACTTCCTAATGTCACCCTTAAAAATGGTGAATAACTTCTAATCTTTTCAGGAACACCTTGTACGAGTTATATACTGCAAAATTAATGGTGTCAGTAGGTAAATTTGTACATAATACATAGTAAACCAGATTTATTGGAATTAATTTGATATTTAGGACTTCCCTTATCATGTCATTTCCAATTGCAGGTTGCTCCTAATGCAGATTTATAGTATATTCGTTGTATTGTTAGGCTTGAGCAATCATTTTCTCGGCTGTCAAGCCTTACAATAAGTACACCTATGATCTCCGAATCTCCACCAAGGGTTGAATGAATAATTTGCGGAATATCAACAAAATCAATAGAGGCTCTCGGCAAGATAAATGGCAATAATCGTCCTCGCACAAGGTCAATGTATCTATCCAGACAGGAATAACGGGGCATAATTTATGGCTAAACTGGAACATCATATCTATTTGGATTTGGAAGCGCGTGGCAGGAATCGTAAGCCAACGTGTTGCTTTTTTGCTTCGATATTTATTTTATAAAGGAAAATATATGGGAGATTTGGGTAATGGGTTCGCTGCGTAAGTCCCTAATAAATTAAATTTTGCTAAGCCGTTTCACTTTGCAGAAGAAATATAAATCTACGCTCCCGGCCCGCGTTCTAGTGTATAAAAAACATGGTGAACAATTTGCTCGAATATTTAATGTTTGTTGCAATTTATTTCTCAAACTGCTCAATTAAGAATCTCTGTAAAATCTAACGCTTATAAAGCAACGGCCTTCGCTGATTGATTCACTATATGGTCATTATGAGTTATTCTGTTATTACTAATGAATTAAAGAGTGCCTAGTTGTGTAAACAAAAAATGTAAATTTGTGTTTATTAAGTACCTATCTCGTGAAAAGTTCTGTTTGTTCATCGAATTTGCGATAAAATGTTTTATTCGATTAATTGTTAAGCAGATCTTATATTTACGCTTCGAATCGACGAGTTGATTAACAAACAAGCAAACTCAACACATACACTGAAAGGCAATCAAATTATTCTCCCCAATTTTCAACTCACGTAGATGAACTCGACCAATTACAATCGTGACATCAGATGTTCGGTTGCTAATTCGTTGTCGGCTGTTGTTCCTCATTTATTGTCAAAGCGAACTGTGAATATACCAAATTAAACCCCACACCGTTAATTGATAGGATTTGCGTCGATCCCGGGCAAATTAAAGGAACAAAAAAACCCCGATAAGGTTCGCGAAAATGGTCCAGAAATAGAGCGGCCTGTATTTTTCCTAGCTCGAATCCGAGAAGGGTAGTTGGACGGTTTTTCCCTTTAATTACGGCGGAGTGTAAGCATTTTACTTCCACTTCGATGTGAATGTACTGGTGGAGTTTATAAGGCTTAAAATAACTTCAATTGCCCTTAGTATTCTGTGGTAAGTAATTAATAGGGAAAATCGAAAATTCATTCTATGTATAAAGAGAAACAAAAATTCATGTAGTTAATTTTTATTTCCTAACAAACTAATATAAAATCGTTATATTATATATTTGTATAATTTATAACAACCTGGCTTATAAACTTATAAATATAAGCAAATATTGATCAATAAAAAAAAGCTGTGATGTGGGTACTCTTTATTATTCCTCCTCCATTGCATATTTTGTATTCAAACAGCATTTGCTGTTGGATTATAGATAGGTTTACTTTTTTCCAGACCAGCAACAATTTTCTTTTAAAATCAAACGTGACGTGGAAATAAACTTCGAGGATGAAATACGAATCTATGATATAGGTCACAATTCCTTCCTATTTAAATACAGTTTTCCTTATAGGGTAATCAAGGAAATTGATTATTAATCGTTGAATGAAATGTAAATATAATTGTAAACTAACAATCATATAGTACCTTGAAGAATAATTATGTGGGAATCCATTTCCAATTTAATAATTTTTGCACCGTCAGCGAACGTCAACTCGATTTTTCCAATGCCTCTCATTCGCTCGTCGTCTTTGCGACACGAACAGGCTAAATTATTAATATTCGCAAACTATAACTCATGCATCAACGAATAATTTTCTAACTTTTACAAGCTTCATCTCCCTCTGTAATTAATGTAAGCTCCATTACAGACGATAATTAATTCAGAAATGTCAGAGTGTTCCATATGCTTCGTTGTGTATTGTGATGTCGCGCGGGGCGCATGGAAAAGAATCGATATAATATTTTGTGGAAGTGTATGCGTACATATGTATATGTGTATTAATAAATTATGGGAAAATGTGAATTGTTAATCATTTAGTATATGGCTTTGTTAATTTTGAATTATGAATTTATGTACTCCTGTGTTATAAAATAGTTATAGGAATAGAGCAATTAAAAGTTAAATTAATTCAACTCATAATGGTATTCATATTTATTCATTATTATTTGAACAATATTACACAATTGTTGATAATTATACAGAGGGAGTGTAAAGGTTTGCAACAAATTCGTTAAATGCTTGATTTATCCATTGGGGAAAAAAGCTCGGACACGTCGATTTTTAATTTAAAAAGCGTAATAGAAAAGGTTGTGAGTGTTTATACAGGATTATTTTAATGCTTAAATTTTCGGTACCTAGTTATTTTTTTAACGTACAATTAATAACGCAGCATTACAATGGAACAAATTTTATGTCACACTTTTCAAAAATTCGGTAAAATGTAGAGGATGCCCAAAAAGTATAACCAAATAAATATCATATTCAAATGGTAATAATTTGTTCTTTATTTTAAATTGAACACCCCAAATTTTATGTCATTACCAGGAAGTATTTTTGAAAGGCTTTCATTCTTATTAAACATTCCCTAAACCCAAAATGAACAATTCTCGATATAAAACAATTAATAACAAATTTAATAAAATTATTTAAGCTTTCTTTTCTCAATAATCAAAGTAGTCTTTAAATAATCAGAAAAAACGTCAAACGTCATACCTCTTCTACATTCATATTTTCTAATTTTCTTAAATTTTTAATCTAATACTTTTTGGACATCCCATACATTTTGTCGAATTTTTGAAAAATACTCGCAACCTTTTCCCCAATGGGAAATCAAGCATTTAACGAGTTTGTTCTAACCTTTACACTATCACTGTATAAAAATTCGGACTTCAACCTTATAATCAATTTTGTACATACATCGGAAATTCCTGTTTTCGGTTTCGTTCTGATTTGTTTTTAATCATTTATTTAGCTGGTAATTGATTGGTATTATCAAAAAATTGGAAATTTTAATCACTCTAATACTATTACGTATATTTACGTTTAATTTTTGTTTCCTAAAATGTGAAATCATATATCCAATCATTTGTGAATCCCTGTATTTCGTTTACGACTAATTATATTGTATTTTCCAATAAAATTATGTAATGCAATGAGTAGCAATATTATATATGTATAGACTAATTGTGCGGGAATCCCTTCTTTACCAAGCGTAAAGGCTATTAATTAAAAAAACGTTTACTAACATTTACGACCACAATTTATTCCATTTAAAAAACCGCAATTAATGCTCTTTAATTAACATTTAAACAATAATACGTACCTATCAGATGTGACTAAACAGGATGAGAATTGAGAGTCGTTCAACTACACATGAATACCTTACTCTGTCATCACTGCTAAATTTACTACGTCTTTTGTTAAAAAATGCTAATGAGTTAAGAGAAGTTAATTATAAACTCAACAGGGACAACAATATCGTTTGGATACCAACAGAAATTAACCTAAACGGAAAATAGATTTCGAGTCATCCGTTATTCTCCTCATATTCCGTCCCATTTTCATGGACTTGTATGTTTTGAATTTTACTCTCCATTCAGTGGCACATACTCTGGTGTGTTCTACACGTGCTAACCAAACTAAGGCTTCCGGCAAATAAGGAAAAAGCAGCTGTTCCATTCACAAGTATGCACACTCGTGGAGTATCGTTTGTTCTCATGTACTCGCAGCTCGCTCGCGACGAGTAGGGGATTTCGCGTGCCGTGGTCGAATTTCGCGCCACTACACCGACGTGGTCGATCGGAAATTCCATCCACATAGTTTCACAACGTCGATTAAGTCATTCAATCCCGAATGGAACGGATTTATCTGATTAAATAAATAAGTCGACGGATTGTTTTGCCAGTTAGTTCCAGTCTGAAGTTTCCCTTTGCATTGTTCCCGGCTCGTCAGCGGCTACATTGTGTCTATTTAATTTTCCGATAATTTCGCAGCATAATAATGGTGAGTTTCGGATTTTCAAGTTTCAATACTGGTTGGCGAATTCATTGTTATCTCATACTTTTTCGTCTGTTAATCTTCTTCGACCAGTCTAAGCCCGTTTTGCATTATACCTCTGAAATTTGACAATGAATTTTGCCTGTTTTATTTATTATCCACTACCCAAAATTCGGTAATTTCATTGGCAACACTAGTCTAATTTTAAACAAACACCATTAAAAGAAACCTAACTTCCATAACCAATGTTCTTGATTCAAACTTATTCTATAATTAAAATGTTTCTTCCTTTACTTTCAGATTACCTTAATAGTCTTCACCTGCGTCTTGGCTACAGCCTTAGCCCAAAGGCCGTCTTTCGCTGGCACCAGAGTAATAGGGGTGCCCGACTTGCACCCGAGTTTTAGGAAAAATGAACCAGAGGATTCCCAATTTACGTCACCGGCAATCGCCAGCAGATTTGGAGAAGCTGACGGTACGACAATCAGGATACCAGTGGACGCTAGAGGAGATGTGAAGCTGGTGAATCGATTGAACACCTGGCCAGAGGAGAACAGGCCGTTTTGGCTGACCAATTACGAGATAATCGAGAGCCAAAGAGGCAAACCTGGTGGTAAGGTTAGCTCTCAAAGGGTCAATCCCACTGTGACCACTCGACGTCGCGATGAGGCGAATGAAATTATTAAAAGCAGGTTTGCAGAAGCTGATGACCAGCCGTCTTTAAATAAAAATTCGTTTACTATTTTAATGAATGGTAAATTTAGAACGTACGTTTATAATTCTTCGACTGATTCTTGGATCAGAAGAATCTAGTTTATTAAACATAATAGTTTTGATTTTTTAGTTTTATGTTTTATAGTTTTATTTAGTATTATTCTAAAGTGTTTTAATATGAAGACTGCGTAGTTGTAAGTGATACCTAATAAATTTGTTATTAAATGTATTAATTATTGGGTAATTATATTGGTTTTTTTATATGAGTCAAACCATATTCATTCAACCATATACGAACCTATTCATATTCATACACATTTATCAAGAAATACAATACAAAAATCAATTACGAATTTAATTAATTACCTATAAATTTTTTAGAAACAAAATACCTTTACATTTGGACATTAGAATTAGGACAATTTGTAATTGAAGTAATATTGTTCATTCACTTTGAAGAATGTGTTTGTTGATTCTGAATTGTAGTTTCTTATAATTATATGTCAAGGTTCACAAATACTGATTGCACTAAATTGGACTATACCAACTTATCAAGAAGTAGGATGGTTAGTGTTGAGGATTTTGAGTTCACTGCCGTTTCCTTGTTTAATATTTCTACAAGCACACTATAATGACGGTAAGTTTTAATTAAATCAATAATTCACTTACTTTGTTGAATTATTTGTTAAGTTGCTAAATTATACAGTGCTTTTCAAGGAAACAGTCCATTAGAACTTGTATCTACGAGTTACATATCGGAAAATTTAGAAATAAGGTATAGTCAATGTTGCGAGTTTTTCTAAAATATTTTCAACCATGACTTCCGGTTATACCGGGATAGAAAACACATTCGACTGTTTCTACAAAAAAAAAATCTAAAAAAACAGAATAACTTATAAATGACGAATTTTTGGCATACAGTGTTATTATCAAAGTCTAGTTAAAAAGGGTAACAGATTCCAAAAATGGAGTCAAAGTTGACATCTACTTACGGTATAACCGGAAGTCATATGGTTGAAAATATTTTAGAAAAGCTCGCAACATTGACTATACCTCACTCCAAAATTTTCAAATTTGTAACTCTTCAGTAACTCCTATAAGTTCTAATGGACGGTTTTCTTGAAGCATTTGTAAATATCACAACATCCAGAAATTATAACAAATCAATAATTTCTCATTGCAAAAACAAACAAATAAAACAGTAATATTACTCAGAATCGGGTTTCGAAAATATAATTTTATTTATAAGCATATCTAATTGAAACATTTATCTTAATAACATACGTTGTATTTAAACTTGTTATTGCAAAAAATAAAGGCGAGGTTAAATCACAAAATTGGAGGCAAACGAATTAACTCGCATACTTATAACTAAACCGATTTCATAAAAATATATTATTAGATTTAAATCATTTTGGTTTCTTTCAGAAAATCTTGGTAATACTAGTTTGCTTCGCCTCATCAGCAATTTGCCAAAGACCCATTTTAGCGGGTATGCAACAAGACGGCGTGCATCCTTTGTTCAAACAAAAGCAAACCCAAACTGAACAAATTAATTTAAACAGCACATTCGGAAAAACCGGTGGATCGACCTTCCCATTACCAGTCGATGCCAGAGAAGATTTCAATCTCGTCAATCGTCTGAACGATTGGTCGGATAAGAACATCAAGACCTTCTGGTTGGTCAATCATAAGATTATCGAACATCTGAGAGGCACTCAGAGTCAAGTAAGTGGTACTGGTTCCGGTGAACAGACTGGTACCACTTTAAGTTCTTTAACAATTCAGAGACACAATATCATTAAGCGAAATCAACCCAGGGTTGGTACTGCTTCTACTTCACACCATACAATGGCTACAATGCATACAATGCCTACAATGCCTACAATGCCTACACCGCCTACTATGCCTACACCACCTACAATGCCTACACCACCTACAATGCCTACACCGCCTACAATGCCTACACCACCTACAATGCCAACACCGCCTACAATGCCTACACCGCCTACTATGCCTACACCACCTACAATGCCTACACCCCCTACAATGCCTACACCACCTACAATGCCAACACCGCCTACAATGCCTACACCACCTACAATGCCTACACCACCTACAATGCCTACACCACCTACAAATCCTACACAGCCTACACAACCTTCACATCCTACACAGCCTACACCACCTACACCACCTACACCGCCTACACCACCTACACCACCTACACCACCTACACCGCCTACACCGCCTACACCGCCTACACCGCCTACACCGCCTACACCACCTACAGCGCCTACACCAGCTACACCACCTACACCACCTACACCACCTACACCACCTACACCACCTACACCGCCTACACCGCCTACACCTCCTGCACGGCCTACAAATCCTACAAATCCTACAAATCCTACAAATCCTACAAATCCTACAAATCCTACAAATCCTACGCATCCTTCACATCCTACACATCCTACTCATCCTACACAACCTACACAGCCTACTCAGCCTACGCAGCCTACACAGCCGACACAGCCTACTCAGCCTACACATCCTACACATCCTACACATCCCACATATCCCACACATCCTACATATCCGACACATCCTACCTATCCTACTCATCCTACACAACCTACACAGCCTACACAGCCTACTCAGCCTACTCAGCCTACACCTCCTACACATCCCACACATCCAACACATCCTACCCATCCTACACATCCTACACATCCTATACATGATATTCAGCCTTCAGGCGAACTGGTGATCAGGGAATTAATACCAAATTTGGAGAAGGCGGGAATCGACAAGATATTAAAATTAACAACCCGATTTCTATTACAGGTGATTACTGCTCTGGTATTACCTGATGTAATAGTGGTTTAGAGTACCTTAATAACATCTATTTCGTAAAGATTTATGTAATTTTATAGTTTACTCCCTACTTTATTAAACATTTTGCAATATCCATTATCTTATACAGAAATTCTGGAGAAATAGATATTTTTAAAGATGGGGAATATTTACAGCCAATCATTGTACCTACCCTACCCCACGTTTAACAAAAAATTAGACGTTTGTAGTGTATTGTAGAGAACGGGAAAACTTAATGTGCAATGAGGCTAATGATCCTTGGATTAGAGTTTAGGAAAATATTATTAATATAACAACTTATTAAAGGAGACTACGCATAGGAATAAGTTTAAATGCTTATACATTTATGTTTGACGTATAATTTAGAATAGTTAAGAAACTTAAAGAATTATAAAATTTCGAATTAGAAATTAATAATGTTAAATATTAATTAAATTAAAATCTAAGGTGTTTTTATTACTTATGTTGATCATAACATAGTAAAACATTTTCGTATGTATTAAAGTAATAATCATTAGAAATAAAGAATATTCAAAAGAAATTAGTATTTCATTCATTAAAATATTTATTTCAAAGAAATATTATTTTATAGGTTGGAAGTTGTTTACCTATATTTGAATTTTCTTTAAATTTTTATATGCCAAAGTCCAAAAGTACTGATTGCACTAAATTGGACTATCCCAAGTATGTACAAATACGCTATTATTTATGTATATATTCAATAATAACATAAAATAACTAATCAAAATTATAATAAAATAAAATAACCGCAATAATCATTTTCTTCGATTTTACGACTTGCTTCTTTGAAAGTCTAATCCCACGAATCATTCAAACTATCGCAGTGAGTAACATTCAACGTCCGAAGAAAAACGAGATCATATTGCGAGTAATCTTCAAAGAAATCTACTAGGTCATCGGACAGTTCAAGACAAAATTTCAGACAAACATCAATCGGCTTGAAGTTCTTGGTAAAGCTGGCTAAAATCATTTCACGTCTTCGGGAATTCCCTCATTGAAATTCGCGGTTCAATTTAGGCGACAAAATTTATACACAAAGAAAAAAATCGCATATGTAGTATAAAACAAGAAGCAGGTTTGTCTTGTTGGTCAGTGTTGAAGGTTTTGAGTTCACTGCCGTTTCCTTAAATGAGCATTGTGTTTAATATTTCGTACAAAATGACTATGACGGTAAGTTTAATTAAATCAATAAATAAATACTTACTTTGTTATACTTTTACCTATAATTAGCTAAATTGTAGTTTTAAAAAGATACTTAATGGGTACATTTTTCAAAATATTGATATTTAGGTTGACTAAAAAATATTTATGAGAACTAGAATTAGTAGTACCTACTATTATTAATAGTATTATAGGATTATTAAAAAACATCACAAGATCCAGTAATTATTATCAATAATTTCTCATTATTAAAACAAATTAATATAACAGTAAGATAACGCAGATCGATTTACTCCGTTTTAAAAATGAAAAAAACAGGTTTCGTATATCTGTACAAATTTGTTTATATTATACGGAATTAAAACATTTGACTTAACAAATACGCTATATTATATTTAAATTAGTTGTTACACGAGATAAAGGCGAGGTTAAATCACAAAACTAGTAGTAAACGAATTAACTTGTATAGCACCTATAACAGAACCGAAATCATTGAATTCAAATACTTTTGGTTTATTTCAGAAAATCCTAGTAATACTAGTTTGCTTCGCCTCTACGGCAATCTGCCAAAGACCATCTTTCGCTGGTAGGCCACAAGAGGGCGTGCATCCTATGTTCAAACAAAATCAAACCCAAACTGTACAAACTAATTTAGACAGCCGATTCGGAGAAAACGGCGGAACAACTTCCACATTACCAGTCGATGCCAGAGGAGATGCCAATCTCGTCAATCGCCTGAACGAATGGCCGAACGAGAACAAGCCCTTCTGGTTGGTCAACCATAAGATTATCGAGCAGCACAGAGGCACTCCGAGCCAAGGAAGCGGTACTGCTTCCGGCGTTCAGACTAGTACCACTTTAAGTTCGTCTACAGCTCAGGGACAAAACGTGGGAACTCAAGCCAATGTTGCCTCTACTGCCTCAACTTCACAACCTAGCGGTGGCGTTCAAGGGATTAATAACAGATTCGGAGAAGGCAGCAATGGCCCAAATACCAACAGTAACAACTCGTTTTCTATTGTAGTGAATGGGCAATGGAGAACTTACAAGTACAACGAGCCTACTGATTCTTGGATTAGAGTTTAGGAGACCATTTTTAAGTAATAAAATATTAAGAGAGACTGCGAGTAGGAATAAGTTTTAATAGTTTTACATTTATGATTAACGGATAATTTGGGAATATAAATTTTGAAGATTTATAATAATTCGAATTAGAAAATAAATGTTAATATGTATTATTTCTAAGGTGCTTTTAATAGGTACTTATGTTTCATAACATAGCGAAACATTTTTGTATGTATTTAATTTACAACCGTTAGAAATAAAAAAAAATCATCTTCTTTTTAATTAATTTACTTATTGAACGTCCTTCACAAAATAGAAAGGAAATCTAGGTAATGCATTATGTATAAACAATATTATTTAAAAACTACTCAATTCACCTCTATCTAATAAGACTAATTAATTTATACTCATCATATTCCAGACACATTCCTTTAATTAATACCACGTATTCAATCACAAACAGGCACAAACGTAATAAGTAATTCTATTGTCATTAAATTCACATCATTCCCTTAAATATACGTGCCATTTTAAAGGGCTTCTTCGACAGAGGGTTTCTACTACTACTGCATGCACAGATAATATTCCAGGCTTCTTCCATCTTGTTCAACGTTGCCCTTCAGAGCATTCTTAATTCAACGCACTGCTTAGATAATTCTATTGTCTTACGAAAACACATCGTCGACTTCGTATCTACAAATTCTAGTTGCACTTAAATTCTGGTTCATGACAATTCCGGAAGCGTACACACGAATAGAGCAATTCCGTTTTATATCTGTGTTTATTGATTTTCAATCTCATTGCATTCGTACTTTATAAATATTGCACCAGACCAATGTCTGAATTCCGGAAAATGAGGGTATTATATGAATGGAGGGATTGAGGACAATTCCTGCGCGGAATGTTTTAAAGATTCATTAATTTTTTTATTAGTAGGTAGGTATTTAGGAGAATAAATTTTGCAATTAGCATTGGCCCCATTTTAATGAATATCTATAAAAAAATAAAAATATATCATATTAAGTAGGTTAAATGGCTGTTAATTATATTAAACAAACAATTTTGGACAATACATGTATATTAAATATAAAAATCCCATTTTTTCTCTCAAAAGACTCAATTTTTTTATGAAAATCGAATTTTAAATGCGGTACCTAAATGTAAACACTAATATCCACTTAATTATTCCAGCAATCAATTTTCTTCACTATACTGGACTTTTAAACTTCACCACTTCACAATCGAGACAAAGCCGTTATAAAAACTCTTAAAGTCTCATTCGAGAAAACTTTGTTCGAAAGACACACAACTCAATAGCACTGCAAATTCAAACTTGCAATTAATCCTCGAACTCCTGCAAAAAGTCTCGGAATCCTGGTCCTAAAAAAGAACCTTCGAGAAAAAAAAAAACAATCATTGTTGTTTCCGTGCGGTTTCTTCGACCTTTCCTACGGATGGGCCGGCCTAACGTCGGCGGAAATTCCTCTCTTCGAAAATCGCTTTTTCCATTAGCCGGGGCTACATGGAAGCAGATTACGTAGTGGTCAATAAATAAGGAGGTAGACCTGTTTGGTCATTCAGTGATACGGTGAGAGTTCGAGGCGATTAGGCGTGCTAATTAGTCAAACTAAATAGCGATAACTGGTGACTTGCGGTCGATTCTTCCTTGTCTGCGATCACTGTCCTCATTTGTTATACCTACTTGTTAACTGTAATTGTTTAATTCAATTCGCTGCGATAATGGTGAGTAGTTTAAATTAGAAACATTCCATACATTTTTAAGTAGTATGTGGTAGTACGTAAAGAATGTTTGTAGTAAGTTTGTAGTAGTAGGTATGTTTGAACTGAAAAAGAACTTTTGGGATAAATGTTTTAATGAAGGAATATCAAAATAATTTTTTACGAGATTTTTCGATTTTCTTGTATTTTTTTGCAATAGAGTTGAATTAAGAATAAATCAAAGTATTTAATAAATAAATAAATGTGCTACTTTTTAGAAAATTATAAAATTTCTCTAGAACGTACTGAAACCTATAATTCAAAATTGTATTAAAAAAAATATCTTACCAATTCAAATTAATCGTATAAAATATTAGAGTTATTTACATTTGAAAGGTTGAATGGTTTTAAAATATTTAACAGACGTAGAGTACAGTAGTTTTTACCTACTTAATTTTTAATTATTCCAAGAAATGTAAATTTTAATATCCATGGAAAATCAAAATGCTCATTAATCCCAAGGCAATGAGGCGTAAATTATCGTTTAGGAAACGGAAATAAACATTTAAAGCATAATTACATTTCATAATTGCACGAAGGAAACCACTGATTAGATAAGAAAGGAAAATTTTGGGAATTGTAATTTTTATAAAATTGAATAAAATTTACAAGCTAAGTGATTCAAAACGTACACTTTTTAGCAGGTATATGGATATAAAAACATATTTATAACAAACTTCATAACAAATTCATGTACAAAGACTCACGTGTAGCAATTGTAATCTTGTAGAGGTCAGTTCCTGTTATTAATGCACTATACGAAAAGGCGACGTAGCGCATGCTGATGTGAGATATGATGTAAACCGGTGCAGTACTAATTAATATGATACAGTTCACAGCCTAATCCAATTAGTTCATATTGCTCCATCTTCTCTTGTAATTTACATTCATTCATCGTAAAAGAAAAACAATGAATAAACTTTTAATCAGAGCCTCAAACCGAATGCTCATTAAAACAACGAGTCATTATACCATCCCATCAGATAAAATATATGTACATACATGACGGTTAAGAGTAACAAAATAACGAAACTGTTAAACGATATAATATGTAGGTAAACTAATAATTTCCATTTTTTTTTTAGAAAAACCTCATCCTAATTTTGTGCATCGCTGCCTCCGCAATGGCCCAAAGGCCGTCCTATGCCGGTCTCTCGGCCAAAGGTGTACCCGGCTTGGCGTCCAGATTCCGAACTGACAGTTCCAGCGGGAGTTCCTCGTCTGGAATAGGAAGCAGGAACGGCGGAACAGACGGCAATAACGTCAATATACCATACGACGAGTACATGGCCAATAGGTACAACGAATGGCCCAGAGAGAACAGGCCCTTTTCTCACACGAACGCCGAGGTTATTAGACAGCATTTGGGACGGCCCAGTTCGAGCACTGTGAACCAACCTAACGGTTCAGGAAATGGTGCGACAAGCGGGAATTCCTTGGGTTCAAATCAGAGCAAACCCAACCAAGTTTTGAATAGTAGATTTGGTGGTTCCAGCAACCCACAAACTAATAACAACTCCTTTTCTATCGTTATGAATGGTCAATGGAGGACGTATAGGTACAATGAGATCACCGATTCGTGGGTTAGAAGTCAATAGATTTACTTTACTTACTTACTAATATTTTGATTAATTAATAAAATTTTAATGTACAAAATGCAACAAATAATATTAAGAATCAGTATTTTACAAACTTGTTATCGATTTAAAAAATAAAAACATCAAGCATGGATAAACTTTCAGCAAAATACCGAAGGAAATATAAGGGAATTTTTTAAACAAACTACCCCGGCTTTCCAAATTTCTTTTTATTGGACGCATTCGAGCGAAGTTTTAAATTTCGCCGATCCTTCAAGAGGTTGCTGTGCACACATGCAGCGCATCACATGTTCTATTCCTGCTCCAACTCTCCTAACTTTCTTGTTACTCCGCTCCGATTTTTCCGAAGTTTGTACTTTCGGATGCACCGCCATTTCTTCGAATTAGCATCGCACGCCACTTGCTCGTAAACAGAAACCAGCGAACGTGATTTTTTGAAAAGTTTTCGACGACAAACTCGATTTGCAGTTTCGTGAATTTTTAATAATCCTATCAGATTGATTATTAATCAAATAATTAAGGTTAAATTTTCATTCAGTGAACTTCTTATTATTAATGAAACGCACTATGTGTATACCTACGAAGTATTGCAAATCGACGTTTTTTCTGAACCTTTAACAAATATTGGAATGCGTGGAGATTCATTTTAAATCCTTGCAGGATTATGCCATACATTTATATTTTGCGTAGAAATAAACGATCGATGAAAGAGTGATACCACGATTTAAAATAAAAGGTTTTTTTAACGAACCGTTTTATTAAATCATCCAATACAAACACTAAAAAATCTTGAAATATATAAAAGTAATCCAGCTACAAAATTTTACATTATTTTAACTTACACAGGATAAAATGTTATCTTCGTACATATTTTTCAAATGGTGGTTTTTAATTGCAACAATTACATAAAGGCATATAAATATTGGGATCAAGTAATAATTATAAGGCCTTAAATATGAACATGTGAAATTTTTGTAGCACCCTTTATGAAGTAGGGTTATTTGAAATTTAAATTCATTTTTTAAAAAATCGCTTAGTTTTAACTAGCTCTTGTATTAAACGGCGATTAATTTTTCTGATAACCAGCTCGCTATATTCGTGCTTGAAAATGCATGTGTTCTTTTAATCGTATTAGGTAATTAGTTATTATACAAATAGCATACAAAGATATTACTTATCTTATTAGGCAACTGTTTAAATTTGCACCTGTAATAAACAGAATCTATTGTTTGAATTTAGCAATTTAAAAATAATATATTAACCACTGGACAGCATAATGTTGTTGACTGGTCATTTTATGTAGAAACCATACAAGTTTTAAAGTTTCCTGCAAATCCGAGAATTTTGCATAAAAGAGCGGTTCTCAGCGATACGCAGAAATTTTTGGAATGCCAAATTTTATTGGCCATAATTTGGCCATCGCTTAGGTGCATTTTTACATATGTTGACAAACAAGTGTGATTCTCCGTTTGTTATTCACATATGCTAAATTCAAGGCTAATGAAATGGATTTCTAAGAAAACGATAGCAAACTTTCATAAATAATTTTTGGGAGGTCGTTCAGTCACAAGAACTTTCATAATATCTACACTTCTTTACTCTTTATTACTTTTAACCTTCAACTTTCAAAGCATAATAATACATTATTAAAATCAGGTAAGTACCTACACAATTAAATTTTAATCCTGACTCAGTATTTTTCGTTATTAAAGGATTGATAAAAAAATTGGTATTGAATACGAATAAACAAACCTTGTTTGATTGTGACAAAATAAATAAAAATAAACGAAACTAAAACAAATCCAGGTGACCAAAACAATGTTGATTATACAAAAACGAAACGTATAGCCTGTCTCCTGTTAGCAGTGAACGCGCGTGGGAGGCAGGTATTTGTTAGAGATAAATAATGGCGAATTCCGTAGAGCAGGTGGCGGAACCGGGAAATGTTATTATCGTTCCTTTGGCCATACAATTTTCATGTGAGGCCCCATTAATGGCCAGAAGGTAAATATGCTGGTTGGACATTCAACAAAGTATTTTTTGTTGGTTAATTACATCTATGTATAAGAAATAATCATAAATGTGAGGGTTCGTAACTAATGTTTAGCGAATTTCACAATCATCCACGCAACGAATTGTTTTTACTTAACTCAAGGTTTTCGATTCGATTCACTATTAACCCTCCTCAAAAAAAATATTTCTATTAACAAACTATTTTCCACACTGTCCTGCACTTGTACAATAATTATTATCGTCTAACAAATACCTAACTAGTCCTAGAAATGCGACAAAACTATAAAAACTTAAGGCACGTTTATAGAATCATTTTTATAATAGATTACTATCGAGTCAGGTAATTTTTCACAGCGTAAAACCCCGCCGTTTTCATAGCTTTCATTTGATATCGATAATGCTGTATTTTCACCCTTGAAAAAGGCTAGTATCGAACCGAATTGCCAAAGCAAAAACTTCCTATTATTTATAACCGTTCTATGTCCATCTCGTCGGTCCGATGATTGATGGTTTAGCTGCACTTGCACGAAACCGCGCCGGGTGTAGGTCAACGTGAGCAGTTAAGATCGGACCCTTTGAAGGTTATTTTTGTGAAAAAAATTAGTCGATAACGCGTGGCAATGTTCGTTTTTCCTCGGCCTTTACATCTTTATGCGACCTTCAATTTTCGTTTTGACGCGTTTCGTGTAGACGGCTGATGGTCATACAACGTACTTTGCTAAAGTCCCAACGCTTTTACATTAAATATTAATGTATTCTTTGGCGCTTTTAGGGTTAACGCTCCGGTGTGGGAAAAAATTAGTTTTTGCCAACTTTTGGGAAAATATAGCGTGATCGTTATGTAATTTTGTGGAGTAACCAAGTTTTAATCCTTATAGGATCTTCGGCATATTTTTATAATTTAATCGATTACCTCTAACATTTTACAAACCCGTTGTAGCATTTTTGTACTAGGTACACATCTACCTGGAGGAGACCTGTCAAATTAACGTAACACTAATTTTACGTATTGAATCTCCAAAGTAATCATTCTACTTAGAAACTAGATAGTATAAATCCTCTAAATTATATAAATTATATTGAAACACCTGAACTAACAAACATTTTCTTGAACCCCGTCCTTACACCTACACATCTTCAGTTCCACCGTGTACCTCTCGAACGTTATTTACGTTGCCCTTTAACTTTATGAAAATGATAACTAAGTCAGCGCGCTGGATTGAGACATCGAACCAACTTTGCGGGACTTCCCACTTCGGAGACTTCAAATCCTCGAAATCCTTAAGTCAAATAGCGGCTTATTTGAGTAAATCACATACTCGAAGTGCTTGGCAAGACTGGCGTAAGTCGAGAGATACCGGAGGCGTCGATTTAGACTTGTCAGATAGTTAGATACAAGTTTGGATAGCGAGAAATTTCTATTGAAATATCAAATTTCCGGCCTATTTTAACGCTAACTGGTGAATAATATTTTAATTTGTTATACGGGAAGTTTATAATTTGTATAATCAATAAAATTGTCATGTACCTACCTATACAGGGTCTGGAAAATTATGTTTTTTTATCTATGTATAATATTAATGATGGTTGTTCCAAAATTTCTCTCAATTTTGTAACATTTTCGACCGTAAGAAATATCAAATTAACCTCTCTTCTTAAGGCTTCCTATTATTTTCGGCATTTTCTTTCAAGACCCAATTTAGGAGGCTCCTATTCTGAGACAATAATAATAACTGAAATTAAAAACCTTCACAACAAAACAGATACAGGAGAAAAACAAAACCAATATAAAGACTCGAGTTGAAAAAGTCATTAGTTGTGAGTTTACCTCTAAGAAATATAAAGACATAATGAAGGAATAATGAACTACATCAGATAATAATTACGCATTAACGTGTTAATGAAGACATTCGAGAAAATAAGTGAGGAAACGTCGATGATCACGACAAATGACAATGACACCCACATTTCGTCAGGATTAATCTTTCCTCGAGAAAACAACTTCTGGCGAGGGAAACCGGCCCGTCCAAACAATGAATCGAATTAATTATCTTCCTCGCAAAACTAATTTCCAACCCATTCATCTCTTATCAAGTATTAATAAAACTCCGGTTCTTATTCTCGGGTTTTTTTAAGGGCGAGCCATCTTTTTCGCATTGTATTCCGAACGAAATTGACTGCATTTCCTAATGGAAACCGAGAGATAATTCACCGACGCGCCATCTCCGAAAAACCAATTTACGAACGGAAACGCTGAAGAGAGGGCTTTTCGAGATAAGATAATCTCAGTCAGAAAGAAACAATAAATAAGTCTGTACGGACTGGTTCAACATTAGTTACACGGCGTTTCGAGGCGACAGAGATGAATCAAAGGTGGAGTGCCCGTTAGGGAATTGCAACTGATTGATGGATTATCGAAGGAAGCGAAAACTAGTTAGAATTTGTGATATTTTTGTTGTATCAGCGGTATTGCAAAAAATAACTGAATTAGATATTTTTATAAAATTGGAAATGAAAGTGGGAAACATGTTGAAATTCCTAAAAGGATTTAAGAGGAAAACATCAAGTGCTAGCTCGAATTTTAATTGCATATTCCGGCTGAAAATGGTTGATGTTTTAATCGTTACTCGTTGCCAATGGATTCAATTAAGCGTTAAAGGGATATCGCCGGCATTTTCCGAACTTCGATTCATCGAACTAAATTTTATTTAATTTTCATCCGATGTCGATGAATATTTGCTTGTTTTGCGATATTGGTGCTAATGGGTAATTGATAGGTAATAACGTATAGAGTGCAGGAATACCTATTTCAAAATAGCCGCCTTTGCGTTAATAAAAAAATTGGGAGTAGGTTCCCAAAGAGAAAAGAGCCATTCGCAGGCGGAAGGCGATAAAATGGAAATTTATATCGTCACATTGTATAAATTCCTCGCGTATCCGGAAAATACAAAGATTTTTACTTAAAGTTATCCTATTTGAAATGTCTCCGAGCTTTGTTTATATTAGTGTAGCGCGCATTCAAATGGAACAGGAATTGTAGAAGTCCCTGCAACTTTAAACCAAATAAGAAAGGGCATGAATATACTTGAAACTGAAAATATAGCAATTAATCACAAAATATAATTTTTTGCCTATAATTTATGAAACATATAAACACTAATAATTTTGTACTAATCCCCATATTAAGGTATTATAAGGGCTTAATAATTTCAACTTCCACAGTTAAAAAAAATACAAACAAACATAATGTAACACTTAAGTTGGAAGTAGCTTATTGGACAAAATGGATATTTATAGAATAGTTGGCAAAATCTGCGGCAAGAAATCCTGAAAGATTTTTTTTCTGTAAATGGTAAGCTAAAGTTGTTGACCCAATGCATCCAATCGATATGAACTTGCTCCGGACCACCGGAGTTGTGTCTCTAACCAGCGCCGCGACGACCCACTTTTACATCTGATAAAAACAATGCATTTTCGATTGTATAGGTGCACGTCGTGTTTATCAAATCGAAAACGGGCAATTTTGAAATTACCCTTCAAACATACCCTCTAGATTTATACTTGTTTCAACTTCATACTTGCAACCTGTCTCTGTTAACTGCAGTGTTTTCCGGCGCGCTAAATTAAAATCACTGGAAATTTGAATAACATGGAAAGGAATGAAAATTTAGCTGGTACTGAACCGTTCTGAACTACACTGCGTTTGCGCAATATACAAAAAGCAGTATTTTTCAAACAAATTGCGAACCATAATAAAGTAAAACAACTAACTAATGAATTTACTTTTATCTTCTCTTTATAGCATTAACGAGAAGTCTCGTTAAAAATACAGCAGCGGGCACGCTTCATCGAAGTTTCCTCGAATGTTTACAGGTTTAATTTTCACTTTGGTAATCAAAGGAAAATTAAGAAGCGTTTATATAGCCGTTCCGGTTTTAATTACAGTCGTTTTTTACGCCAAATGTACGAACAATCGCGTTTAAAACAACAATTCTTTAATCTTTTATAGGTACTTTTTGTTTAGTTCGCTTAAAAGAAAAACATCTATCTTTTAAATCTTAAAAGATACAAATAAATCTTAAAAAATAATATAATATCTATGCCTGATGTCAACCAGTCTATATTCTATTTCTAAAATAGTAGGCACTAAATTCTCGGAAATATTGTCGCTTTTCTTATTTATTACATAATCCTTGCTCTTCTAATTATTAGTCTCCTGCTGATTTTCCCGTCAAACACACTTGTAGCCTACGATATTTTCCGTACGCCACTGGGAGAGACCCATTATCGCAATCATTTCTGAGAATTTAGTGCCTACTATTTTGGAATTAGTGTATACAAGGTTTTTTTTGTACTTAAAACCCTTATAATATAATATTAATAAATAATTGATAATCATCCAAACTCCTCAAAATTATATTATCTCGAGGTATAGGTATAGCATTTTTAATGTCATCAAATATCTGAGGTAAACTAATAAAATTTGGCAGATAAGGTGATAATAACATTCTGAATACCAAATGAGTTTCTACTATTACAATCTTGCCATTAGGAAATACACAGGTACTAAAAATAGACTTGGAACTCGGAAGAGGAGACTTAAAGACTTCAATTTGCACCTCTTGTAATTTTATTGGTACTAAAATTTTATTGCCTTCACGCGTTAAAGGATTCAACGGCGACGAGCAGATTTCTGGATTTCAGGAGAACATTTCCTCTAATTTCATTGGATTTATTTATTCGTATCCAACTAGATGGAGTTTCTATCCTGGATCAATAATGTGTTCCCGTCTACTGCAGAAAACTCCTTTTTGCATTTCATATATTTCATTACGAACTTTTAATAATGTCCTTAAAAAAATTTCAGCACGTCTAGTTTCCATAATTTGTCCAAAATATTCGTTCTATAAAAATGGTTCTGAAGCGTTCTATATGGTTTTAGACAGTTCTAAATGTTTCTGGAGCCTTCTAAATGGTTTTAGACAGATCTAAATGTTTCTGGAGCGTTCTAAATGGTTCTAGACATTTCTTAATGATTCTGGAACGGTCTAAATGGTTTTAGATTTTCTAAATTATTCTGGAGCGTTCTAAATGGTTCTAGACAGTTCCAAAAGATTCTGGAGCATTCTAAATGGTTCTAGTCATTTCTAAATGATTCTGGAGCGTTCTAAATGGTTTTAGAACAGTTCTAACTGGTGTCCTAGGAGACTATTGCTGGAGATTAATTTGCGAATCCGACCCAAAATCGTACAAATAAGAAACATGCTCAGCATTTCTAATTTGTAGTTTTTTTTTCTAGATTTACGTAGATATTAAATCACAGTAAAACAAAAGATTTTATTAGTATATTTCGGTTTTATGTGTCAGATTTTTTTTATTAGCATATACAATATTTTTTTCTTTGACCAAAAATAGGTATATCGCTCTACTTATCCCAAATTTTTGCCCGAAACCTTGTAAGTGTAATTGACAATGTGTAATTAACAAGCGATGAAAAATCTTTTAAAACGTGATTAAATATAAAATAAATGAGTTTATCATTTACAAACGTAGGTCTACATTCAACAGTTATAGCAAAAATAGTAGAAAATATCGAAACTTTGTATCGTGCGAAAGTAGGAACAAAAACCTAATCAAATATAAGTTTTTACCTCACCTCCACACATTTCGAAAACGGATTATAAATAATTTATCAATTTCACTAATAAATAATATCCAAAAAAATCAATTTTTGAGCAACTTTTCTGCATAACTTATCCTGAAATCTCTAACCAATTCATCGCTCAAACCACCCACGCACCTCTCTTGAGTATTATTCCGACATATAAAATTATTTATCAAGCCCGATATCCTTTCCGGATTATTCAAATGCACGTGATGACTGCCTTCGACGTAATTAAAATCGCAATCCGTGCTGCTTTTTTTTATAACCTCCAACACGCGGTAATAATTATTTTTCTCCTCGTAGTAACTGGATTCCGAAGCTTTCAGAATGAAAATTGGCATGACAATGTGTTCGGATAATTTCTCCAGTTCCTCTTGGCAAAACAGAGCTAACGAGCCCGTTTTTAGTCTGGGATCTCTGGTGAAATAGTACTTTTCTGCAACAGGTGCAATCATCAAGTGAACTCTTAATAAAACAGTAAACTTACCAGGGTTTATGGTAGATGGCGCTATATTCCTATCCAGAATGTATCCTGTGTATTCAGGTAAAACAGAATAACGATTCGGTTTGGCAACCAGATCAATCATTTCTTCTAGCGTGTAACTGGGAGGTTCGTTCGAACAGAACGCCTGGCTGTTGTACTTGAAAAACAATTCATAAGCTTTGGCAATTAAAAGATGTCTGTTATTCGGAACCATCGGCTTCAAGGCGTCCAGGCACATCAAGAAATCGATTTCCAGCGGGAAAAACATGGAATATACGTTGGATACCACCGCTCCCAATGAATGTCCCAACAGCGAAATCGTGGGCCACTTGAGTTCTTTGGCAACGCTCTTTATGGTTAACATGTAGGTTGATAAATGGTACATGTTGCCTTCTGAGAGACGCGAAGAATAGCCGTGTCCTGGTAGATCTATGGCCAGAAATCCGACATTTTTATCTAACATAGGGATAAGTCTATCGAATGTTCCACAATTATCCTAAAAGAATTCGTAAAGTAGTCGCAAAGATTTAACTGTAAAATGATCACCATTATGTTTTTATTAGGAAAAAAATCAGGAAATAAGTACGAGGGTAAAGTGAAAAATTCTCGCCCTGAATGAAGAAGTTGAGGGAGTCGTCAATGAATATTTTAGCAGCCTTCCAGACTCTTATTTTTGGGAATATGTAAGATGCTGGAGAAAGACTGGACCAAGTGTATTGAAGTTAAGGGACATGCGGAAAAATAATAAAATTTTTTGATTGAAAATCGGTCATTCATTGTCAAGCCGAGAACAACTTTTCACGGTACCCTCGTACTGGTAAGATACTAGGAAATCATGAATGGAAATCATGAATTGCCGTGACTAATAATCTTATATTAGTTGTAGATTTACATTTTGTGTGATAAGAAAAATTTAAATAAACATGTGTAGAGTTAACAAAAAAAACTTCTACATACAGGGTGTCTCTAAAAAGTTTGGGACGTGGATTAACTACTTCAGCGACGAAAATAAGATAATTTACCAATATCCAAAAAATGAGATTTATCTCCAAAAATGTAAGTTACAAACAGAAAATTACAAAGAGTAAAAAATTATTTTAAAGAAACCAGTGAAACTAGTTTTGATTCAAAAATTAAGAAATATCATGGTCGGAAGAAGTAGGGGGTTGCACTCCCCGTTAAATCAGAGATTATGAAAAAAATTCAGGCAATAATGGGTAACTAAACAAAGATCCATTCAACAAAAGCCTTCAGCCATTCTAGCCCAATATCAAAAAAAATATTTTTTATTTTCAACTTGAAAACTCTAAACTTTACTATGCACTTTTGAATATAGGTAAGTTAGGTTAAATCATTTTATTTTCGTCCCAGAAGGTTGCAGTTAAGCCATGTCCCAACCTTTTAGAGACACCCTGTATAATTGATACATTACTACGTGCAAATACATATTATAATAAAAGATGTGAAGATAATCTGAAGATAATTTTAAGCATATACCTGGCAACACTGCAAAGCAAACAATGCGACAAAATTGTATTTCACAATTATTAAAATTAGCGGAATATAATAAATTTGCATATTTTCGCCAATTGCAAATTAGTAATCTTAACTCGTATAAAAATTAACTTACTTGCCAGCCATGAATTGATAGAATAGGCCTAGTTTCGTAGGGTTCCCACCATTTTCCTGCTACATGCCCCCAGGGCACTTTGATTTCAATTTCTTTATACTCCCTCTTTTTTGTAGAAACCCATCTGACACTTCTAATGTATTTCGTTTGAGCAATTTTTGTTATTCTACTGGAATAGAGCATTTTATTTAATAATTCTAACCTAGAAAACTATTCTAATGTGAACCTTCATCTCATCATTTTATAGCGAAATCCTGCTGTGTTGCCACATGCGGGAACAAATATTGAAAGAAAGTAAACGTAGTAATTATTTATAGAAAAAATTATTATTAAAAATTTTGTATCCTAACTAAATATTGTATGTTTTAAATAACACTAGTAAAAGATAATTCATTTATCTTCGTTTTCATCCTGTTCTTCAAAATCTTTACTCCTTACATCTTGATCTTCTCCGAATTGTATAACATTGTCTATAGTTAACAAAACATCACTGATACTTTCTAATGATTTGAGATTCAATGGAATAAATCTAACTAAAGAATAGTCTTCGATAAGTTTCCCGATAGCTTCAGTAAGCTTCCGATGCTTCAAATTAAACGCAGTATTGCCGCAAAGCTCAACGTCGCCTAAAATAAAATGAGAATCCGGCTCCAAAAAGGAATCCAATCTCTTCTTAGCACCTTTGCTCAGCAAATCCATTTTAGACAAAAGGTTAACATGGGGTATCTCTAGATTAATCATCACACTCAGAGCAGCCATTGTGCCTGATATAAATTTCGCACCGTCCGTTATAAACTGAACGTCCACCAGGAAAACCGAACATATGCTGAAATTCCAATCCTGCAGATGCTTCACCAGCTTCTTCATTGCCGTCAAATGGGTGTACAGCTCGATCTGACCGGGGCAATCGAACAGTATGTAATCGTCCTCTTGGTCTCCCAATTTGTCGTGCAGCCAGTCGGAGTTCTCTAAAAGGTACTCGATGCAAAATATCAAGCCGCCGTTGGGGCCGAAATGGAGCTCTTCGTCCTCCATCGTGTCTTGTACGTGTATCAACTCCCTTATGTCGGCTATTGGCGTGTAATCGAAATATTCGGCTGCCGGGTCTAAATTTACGACTTCGATGTTCCTCTTTGCGTCGACCCCGTGCTGGGCTAGGGCGCTGCAGTAGGTCGATTTTCCGCTGCCGGCAGGGCCTATTACCAGTTGAGCGTATCTCATGATTTTTTTATTTGGTTTAATAACAGTGGAAAAATGTGTAATCAATTCATTGCAATATAACGATAAACATAACCTAACAAAATCTTCTCTCTATTGGACTATTTTATGACATTGACTGTACACTGTCAAGTGTCAATTAATTTTTTTCAAATTTTAGTATTTAGTGGTGCTTATGCAACCAACATTACGTAGCCTCATAAGCTTATTCGTTATTCTCAACAAGTTTCAAAATGATAAACTGTTCACCAAAAGTAAAAATTTTTTGAATACAAATAGCAAAATAATGTTTATAAAATACAATTCGATCGTTCTCAAATACTACATTAAGGACTCGAGCTTCCTTTATCAACATTGTGAGAATATAATTTAGTTCATTATAATTAGTCGACATAATTTCTATTCCTCAATTATGAACACACTATAAACGGGTATAAATTAATATTACACTATTTTCAGTAAGTGATGTGAATCAGATTCTCTATAATTGCTATATATTACAATTTTGCATAATTGCTATATTACTAAATTTAATCAAGCATTCCCGTCTTTGTGCTTTTAACTTCGTCCTTTATGCTCCGAGCTTTTGACTCTCTATGCACCTACATAAATACTTACATTTTTAATACTGCAATTCTCGAAGCGATTTATATAACGTTGGTAGTGCAGAATAATTCAAAATTTTCAACAACCACTTATTCGAAACAAATATTCCTCACAAATAATAGTTCAAATTTCAATATAACCTTATGAGTTTTATTCAATAATTGCCAATTTATCTGTCATCATAATATCTACAAACCGGTGCCTACCGTCATGGCTGAACAAAATTATAATCCACACAGCCCAGCTTCCACGCCGCCGCCTCCACCGCCTCCACCGCCTCTTAGTTCTCACGCGTTCCTGCCGACTTCAAGACCGCCTATCCAATCCCTAGGCTTTCCCTACAGGAAGCTCTCTGAGGATGTCGATATGCTTGTTCCAATACCCAGCATTATTTTACCCCAACTCCAAGAAACTGAGAAGCGATTTTTCGAATTGGTTGCTTCAGGTAACCGATATTACGCTCGATCCGTTTCTACATACAAGTACAGTTATTAGTACTATTTTTCAGGCGATGTTTTTGCCGTGAAAGAATATTTAGACCAAAACCCGAACATCAACATTAATTGCACTAACTTTCAAGGCGTTACCGCCCTCCTTATCGCTGTACAAGCGCATTTCGACGCCATGGTAGAATATCTCTTGACCCAACCCGGAATCGACATAGGCGACTGTGTGCTGCACGCCGTAAAAGACAACCAACCCAACATTTTAGCCATGCTTCTCGACAAACTGAGCGTAACTGCGCCCAGCTTGGAATACGTGGGAGTTACGCACAGCTCCGATTTTCCCGACTACGTTACCCCTTTGATCCTAGCCGCCCAATGCGGCCATTACGAAATCATTAAAATGCTAATAGAACGCGGCCACACGATCAGCAAGCCTCACGCCCCTGCTTGCAGATGCAGCGAGTGCAAGATGCACCTAGAAAACGACGACACGCTGCACTCCGAAAGCCTGAAGTTGAACCTCTACAGAGCCGTCGCGAATCCCGCTTATCTCTGCTATTCCACGTACGATCCCATTCTAGCCGCCTTCCAGCTCTCGAAGGAGCTCACGGACTCGTCTTTTCTAATACCAGAGTTCAGAGTAGCCTACAAGGAACTGGCAGCGGAGGTGAGCATGTTCGCGGTGGATTTGATAGCTTGCGTCCGGAGCACGACGGAAATGGAGCTGATCTTGACTCAAAGCGGGGGCCAGGAATCCGCCCATGGATTTACTTACCCTAGGCTCTTCCTAGCCATGGATTACAAGCAGAAGGCGTTCGTAGCGCATCCTAACACGCAGCAAATTGTCGAAGCTGCTTGGTGCGGGGATTGGAACACATACAAATTAAAACCAGTCGTTTTGAAGCTATTTTATCCCATTGGGAGAATATTTATGTTGCCGGTGATTTCGATAATGAGCATGTTCACGCCGAATAATGCAATGGTGCGGCACTGGAGCATCCCATTGAATAAGATGATCAGCCATATCGCGTCGTACAGCGTGTTTCTGCTGCTGATATTCCTCGAATCTAACATTGATAAAACGAAGCAGAAACGCAAACCTCCTAATTCCGGCTTGGAACCGGTTATAATCATTTTCGTCGCGGGGAACATTTGGAACACCGCTCGTATGTTTATTCTAATCGGTCCCGAACGATTCTTTAGGAGTTTGTGGAACTGGCATTCTGTAATCAACAACATGCTCTTCATTATGACGTTTCTATTCTGGCTGGCCTCGTACATTGACGCAAAAAACAACGATCAAATCGATTTGGAGAGGAAGTACTGGCACCATTTGGATCCTCTTTTAATCTCCGAAGGGTGCTTCGCCATAGCGACCATCATGGCGTTCTTTAAGCTAATGTTTTTCTGTCGATTGAATTATTACATGGGACCATTGCAGATTTCTCTGGGCAAAATGTGCGCTGACCTGGCAAAATATATAATCATCTTCACCATCGTTATAATATCGTTTTCATCTGGGTTGTGTAGGTTCTACCAGTATTACGACGGTATGGTGAAGATAGACGTTAATCAGATAAAAACCCAGCAGGTGTCGTCGTTTGTGAACTTCGCTGCGACTTTAAAAACGTTCTTCTGGGCCATACTTTGCATGGCCCCTTTAGAATCCGCCGATGTCGTAATAGAAAACCTACCAGGAGAGTCTCCTGACACTACCATAATAAACTCCCACGAATTCACTGAGGCTGTTGGGTACATAGCTTTCGCTCTTTTCGAGGTTCTAATTGTAATAATGATTTTGAACATGCTGATAGCCACAATGTCGGCTACGTTCCAGAGGGTTATAGACAATTTGGACGTGGAATGGACATTCGGTAAAACTGATTTTTATTTAGAATATATGCTTCAATCAACTAATCCCTCTCCATTCAACTTGATACCCACTCCAACAGGAGTCGCTACTTTCATGGACAACGTTAATGAAAGGAAATCGTCGAACACGAAGTGCTGCAAAATGGCCGAGAATAAGCCGTCTATTGAAAGGAGTAAATTAAGCTATTTTGAATACCCGGCATTAATGACTTCATTGGTGCAAAGGTACTTTAGGGAGAAGGATAACGCCGTATCGGGACCCACAGATGCTGATTTACTGAAGCAGGAAATACACGAATTGAAAAACTTGCTCGCTCAGATTATCGAAGAAAAATAGTTGCTGTTTTTATAATGTTTTATCTATTGTTTTTATTTTTACGTATATTTTATGCTATTAAGCTAATTATAAAAGCGCTAATAAAGTTATACGATTGCTGGTTTCCGGTAATGTATTTTTAGTTTCAAATTAAACAATTGATTTTACAAAAAATAGGTCAAATCGCAGTAAATATCAAATTAGGTAGATAGATATTCAAGTTTTAATTAGATTGTTATATATTATTTACAATATATTCATTTAACGGTTTTTTTAAATCGAATTTCATAATAGATTCCCTTCGGGTGTAATAAACGTCAAGATTCATGGATTTTTATATCTGAAAGAGCGACACAAGCATAAAGTTTTAGCGACGTTTCTGTAACAAAAAGTGAAAAATATTTCCCGTCCGTGCTACAGACAAGTGAAGTAGATTGCAATAAATTCCATGCGTACTGCCGATAGAGATATCATTAATCACAGTGTCTTTGAAATGATAATAAATTCGTTATTTGATCATTTGGACATTCTCCGTTTAAAAATCAAGGCGAGCGTTTTAAATTTCGTTTGTTTATAAATTCTGCTTATAAATTGGCTATTTTGAAATTAATTTTTTTACCTGTAAATTCATTTTACCTGTAAAACTCACTACTCCACTTCTATTACTACTAATCAATCTAATTCACAAACTTAATTAATTGATTTATTTTATATATTCCTTTACACTAATTTAATGTAATTAAAATATTTTTTTATTTAATTCTAAATTTAGCATGTTTCTAATTATGTGTAATCAAAGGCAATTGGCACATTTTGAACAACGTGAATGTATTTATTTCGTTCCTGGTTGAATGATGAAAATGAGTAGATACCTGATTTGAGGAAGGGCGTTTGTAATTAATTAAAATTTTCTATAAGGGTTTAATCGCGTAGGTGGCAAAATACAGGAAATCAATTTCATTGCAAGTTGATTTTCAGGCAAAAAGTTTCTAATTAATTACTTTGGGAAGACGGCAGTGCCGTTATGGATAAAAAATGGTCTTTAATTAAAAAAGCCCGGGTGAAACTGCAGCTTTAGTATATCTTTTTGTTAATTCCATTACACAGGTATTCTGAAATAATGTTTAGATTTAAATTTTTAATGTTGAAATCGCTTGATATATTTTTTTTTCTTTTAAGAATATAAATTTTACAACAGGTATAGGTAGGTATGTATTTTGAATTGGCCAATATTTCTTTACATCAAGGATAACGTTTAGTTGATTCAATGAATGTTGTTATGGTACAAGAGAGAAACCTAATAATTAAATATAGCATTCTGAATATAGGTTACATATCTCTAACCAAATATGTATTGTTTCTCTTAGTGCAAAACTCTATTAATCTCTAAATCAACAAAACATGAATTAAAAATTCCTAAGGAATGCCTGAGGGAAAACTATCAAATTGCTTGTATATCTACACACAATTAGAGAAATGAGTTAAATAAATATCTAAATACCTGGGCAAATAAACTAAAATCTCAAAGATTAAAGTTTAAATTCGCATATAAAGTAAAACGTCCGTGAAACGATTGAGAATTCAACCTTTCAAAAGTAATGAAATATCGAATTTATTATCGGCAGACTGACAATTTCATCGCCGGTCCATTTGCATTTAATAGCAGGAAAAGACTTGCTAACCGCTAAATTGTGCAATCGATTCAAATTTAATTAGAAATAACTGCTGAGAAGTGATTTTTTTTCGATTTAAAACGCCAATCGTCGAGATTTTTGTTAAATTAACCAGGTTAATGTGTATCAGCGTTTATAGATAATTTCTCTTAGTATATGGATGTGGGAATTTATCATGCACATATAATCGAAACTGACGGATTACTTATTAATATTTATTAATTTATAACAAAATGTATATTCTATTAATTTACTATTCTGTTTTTTAACAATGAGTTCATATTAGAATAGTACATATCTAACGAAAAATGAAGATTCATTTCACTGTGTTACATTGTAGCTATACGTTTTTTGCAAACTACTGCAGGAAGTTAACCAGCACAGCATTTAGAGGGAATTATATAATATTTATTCGCGGTGTCACCACTACACCCACGATTTTGTAGCGGTTTAGTAAATTAATTTCAATAAAATGCAACGCTAGTTTGCATCTATGGTCCTAGGTAACGGGAGCTTTTGTTAAATGTTAAATACCACACTTGGGCCATTTGCGTTACAAAATAAGCTCAAATTAACAAGCGCTGTTCTTCAGAGAGAAACAGGAAATTGCAAGGAAGCGCCGCTAAATTATTTAGTTAATTAATGGTCGGATTATTTATTAACACGATTTTCACGAGCTTCAGTGTAATTGCCACGAATTAAATTACGATATAACTTTTGTTACTCGATCGGAAAATTTACAATGAAAAATGGGTAACAAAATGCGATGTTTTTATTTCCAAAGTGTGCCCCAACCAATTCACATTCTACACTCGTCCTCCATCATTCATAATATAAAATATGATGTCTACCGCGTTTACCGTTAAAGAATAGTGAATGTGGTATCGGATAAGAGATAAAAAAATTGTTTTTAAAAGTATGCGATATTATTATTTAACAAAATTTAGGGTTTAAGTAATTTTTGTTCATAATATGTTTAAATTGAACTCTGTAGTTTTTCTGTTCTTCAGTTTTGTTTATTTAAATGTGTAGATACTGTTATGCTTTACATAAAAGCTCGATAAATACAGTAAAAGGATAAACAAATAAATGAGATTCGTTCAGATGGTTGGTTAATAAAGCTAGAGTCCTTTGTACAACTTTTGGACGATCAATTTTTATGTACCACCTATTCTACTTTCGCAGAATCTATCTCTACACGAGCTCCACTCTTTATGATAATGATGCAGGAATGCTCGGGAAACTTTTTGCCGGAGAAATCTCCGCCGTCGAGAGGACGACCGGGTCTCTGTAACGATTAGTTTTCCGTCGCACAAAGTACATATGAAACTTTTTACGCAATTATCCTTGGTTAAGTGAATTCATAAGGAACAAATGGGCCAATTTCTGAGACTCGCAGAAATTGGCGAAATTGGTGTTTCGTTTTCGTACAATTCTGTTTTATCTAAATGACTCGAGAAAAGAAAAAAAACTACGATTTTGTGTATAATTTTAGCTTTTGTTGACCCAATGAATCATAAAAAATGAGGAGAGCTCAATGCTGATAACGTGTAAAATGAAGATGAAGATGATGAAATTCCTTAACTGGTGGTATAAGTGGCTCTGTTAAATGAATCAATCATTGACTATTTTGGGTTGATACATAAGTTTATATTTTTCGCTAGACAAATGGCTCTTAAAGTAAGTTATTAAACAATTATAAAAATCGTAGAAGATTATGAAAAAGCACCGTGAAATAGTAGAACTGCAGAAGAGTCGCATCGAAGTTAAATCTTGAAGAAAAATCGTCGAACCGGACGCCGCGCACTTTATGAAAACGAGTAGAAAAGCGACACCAACATCGCCCGGAATCACTTCCGAGCAAATGAGAAATCTTGTATAACAACGACGGTTATAGTTCTGCAGCAACAAATACGGTTCCGTAATTTGTGGCGAAGAGAGTCAGAAAAAGGTAATCTCGATCGTGAGGAGCATCATTTGAAATTCCGACTTGTCGACCGATAAAATGCGGCAGTGGCGTGTAGAACAGGATTTTTCTCTCAACGGTAAGACGAGCTCGAGGAGAAGGCTCCGCGCGTCCGATGTTTGCGAAAAAATGCGACAGCGTGTTGCATTAATCTTGCTTTGTTTAAAATTCGAAGGGTGCCAGACAACGTCAATTTCGAATTCAATTCATCAGAATGTTCGTAATGCTATAAACAGTTAATTAAGAAAATTCGGATGGGTGTTTTTATGTTTTGATTGACTGTTGGAAGCATCATTAATTTCGTTTTAATAAGAATTAAACCGCTCTTAGACAAAGAAAGGTTGGAATTTTATAATTTTTGCCATTATCAGCTTCCGTTTTGACACGGTTTGAGCGAAGAAAATATTTTCATAATGAAACGTCCTTGGGCGGTTTCAATTTTATTCCTTATTAGCATCAATCGGGCTAATATAATAATTCCGAGCTGGTACAACTGAGGCAAAGGACAGATAATGTTGAAGAGTAACTTTATATTGAAATTTTGTACCAATTTAATTTAAATAACTATAAAGTTCTAAAATTTTTCTCTATATATTTATTTTTTACTGATTTTTGAAACTCTTCTTCGTTAACATTTAGGTGATTATTAACGCTTTTTTATAAGTAAGCTTTTCCTTTTAATTAGTGAAAACTCCTTAAAATATTAACATAAATATGGCGATATGTCCTTAATCCACAAAATTATCACCAACAGGCAATTTACATTCATATTAAGGCGGTTAAAAGTCGATTTTTCTCAAATACACCTCTGCGTATTTTAATTGATCGCGTTATTTTCTCCCGTGTTCGAATTCCAACTACAGTCGTCTTAATACAAACGCGATTCAATGTCCTCGCATAAGTCGCACTATTTTATTTCCACCGTCGTTGAAATATTTTTTGCATTTTATGTCAGGCATAAAAAATTATAGATTTTCAACGTATCTGTTATCGCTTCGAATACGCTTTACGATAATGAGTTTCGCGAATGCGTCGGGAAAAAGTGGAGCATTAAATTTGATAAGTTTATTATGTAAACTGAAATTATAAGCAGGAGAATTTGAAATTTTATACTTTAGTTACGGAGCATACTCCAGCTAACATTAGTTGGATATTGTATAGTGGATAATACTGAACAGATACTCCAATTAGTTCGAGTATTCTGAGCTTGCAATTAATTTCTAACTCAATTTTGATCTTCCTTTCCTATTAGATGAACAATAAATTTTTAAATGCTAAAGTTAGTAACAGTTTTGAATAGAACCTAATGGGCTCTTGATGTAACATATTTCTGGAAAAATTAGATTCGAACGAAAATTCTTTTACGGATAAACTCTCCTATCTTAATACAGAAAATTCGAGCATCTGGAATTAGCATTCTTGCAGCTTTGTATATTCTAATGAACTTATTTTCATCGCGAGCTCCAATACAATTTTTTGCCATTTATTTGCTGCAAAACAACAGCGACGTTTCATTAAACATTTGCCCGAAAGACGTTGACTGAACACTCGTATTTTTTAAATATTTACGCGCTTTTGGCTTTTCGTCAATCAACTTACGCCGGATTTCGGGCGGATTTGACTTAGGCCTTGTACCGTTTTATTTACGTGCACGTCACGGAAGGACGGAAAAGAAGCGTCGCGAAAGAACGGCGAATCAAAGCTGTTTTGACGGAAATTTTACGGAAATAAAAGCGAGTTGCGTTTTAATGATGGCTATCAAAAGGCGCAAGCCGTTGTAAAAGCAAATTTGCTCTTTATTGCGATGGAATTTGCGTTTAGACGAAATTATCGTTCGGAATACATAAAATTCGGAACTTACAAAATAGTGTGATTATTTGTTTCTTTAGTTGCGCTAAGCGGCCGTTAATTAAATTTATGATTCTCAATAGCAAAAACTGTTTAGATGTCTAGAAATTGCGCTTATATTTCTCTAAATGATGGTATTGTACTTTTGTATTTTTCACCTATTTTTATCGAACATTTTTTTATATTTCGGGTGTATTTCCTAAATGTTAATATGTATGGATGAACGATTTTTTTTACTGCACGGAATCCTTCGTCTCTGACCTGATTAATACCATGGATACCAAATCTAGCCGGGTATTCAACGCTGGATTAAGATTTATATAGAGATATAATACCTACACGTTATAAAAGATGCATCAAAGAGCCAGCAGTTTCATTCAGACAAGATTTCTTTCATAATACGGTTGCATTATTAACTTTTTAACAAAGTATGTAGTAAAATGACTGATAATATTAATATTGAATAAATACTTTATAGGTTATAGGTTATATGTAGGTAAAGAATAAAAATGCAAATCTCATCGATAATCATGTTGCTTTTATTTGAATATCTGTTGCTTACTCCGAATGGGAATTTTCCGCTTTTACTCGATACATTTTGTGCATCAAATGTCTCGATTTCAACAATTTCGTATACACTTTATTCGGTATTATATTACACAGAATTTATCCATGAATAAACCGTACAAAATAGCGCAAATATTTACAATTCTAAAAGATAAAATTTAACATTTTAAAATCAGTTTATCTCGTTAGTTTCCAATTTTTCTTATTCATTTATGAAAGTTCCCCTGCAGACTGTATAATTTTCTCCACACGCGATTGCGGTAGGTAATTTAGTAAGATCGTGTGTAGTATTTAAACATAAACAAATATCTAATAATCGCATACAGTTATTGGTAGAGTTTTACCAGTAAGTGAGAGCGATTCAACTGCCTATTATCAAGATAACAATGATAGATAGACAGCACAATAAATTGCAATGAACATAACTGTTATTTACGGTGTCTATTTCATTGTAATTCCAATAAGATAAATGCCTTTTCCAAACGGGCAGAACTCGGTACTCGTTTCGTGAAATTCAAACCTCCACATGAATAATAATTCAACATCATCCGTACGAACATTTGATTAATTTATTAAAATAATTAATTAATTAATTCAATTAAATGGTTTTTTTGTGTTATTGTTTTCAATTCAAAGATGGTTCTATGATCAAGAGATGCTATTTTTATAAGTATTAACAATTCCAATTTGGTAGGATGCATCATCTCTTTGAAAACTCAGATGTATTGGAAATATGGAATAATAATATCGACATTGTATTTTATTTCGTGGTAAGGAATATTGCACGATATTATATAATATTACAAGAGATTATGCAAGATTCAAAATTAATTTCGTAATGAATAACTGAAGATTTCTCGAGATAATATTTGAAAATTAATTTACCTACTCGTCAGTTATTATAAAGAGTACCTAAATTTAGGCAACTCAACTTACTGGCAACTCAAGATACGTCAGGTATCCGACATTTTTTAGGTACTCATTAATTTTTATAACTCCCATTTAGGTACAGCAATATTTCCACAGTTGGAAGGTATCAGTGGCACAGTAATAGACGGCAGAAATGCTGGAAGCAACAATTCCCTTCGAGCATAAGTAGGCCTAATTAAAGGAGGTAGTTTTATTAAAGTTTCCCTGACGTCAGTCGACATATCGAGATATCCGGGGGTGGCGCACCACTTCCAATGCTCCGGCCGCTTCTGTAACTCGCATCCAACTTCTCACTTGCATCTTGGAAGCGGCGAAGCGTCGACGGGCCCGAAGAGTTGTGTGGCGGCGCGCTCTTCGAAATTTCCGCGCGTATTTTCGCTACGACGGATCGCTTGTTGGTGCGACGAAAGTGAACAAATATTGCACATCGCATTCGTTAGTTTTTTTTTTGGTGAAATGGGAACTTTTTCGAGAAGAGTTTGTAGAACTTTCCTTGATGCTGAACGTTATAATGAAGTCAGTTTAATTGAATAAAGGTAAGGTAGTTTATCTGTTAGTATAGGAAATTTTTCGTTCGTAAGAAGAATTTTTGGTGCCGGTCTAGAATGCGGTCTATCCAAATTTATTACATACAAAGTATTGCAAAGTATAACAGAAGATTGGGAAAATTGACCTTTCATTATTCAAAAGAAAAAAATTACTGGTATGTATTGTACATGGTATGTATTCACCGAGAATTGGGGAAGTACCTATCTTCATTAAACAAACGAAAAGATTTAACTAGTATCTATCTATTAGGTATAAATTATGTATGGAACAACAGATAAGTAATTCAATTTATCGAGAATTACTGAAGTATCAGAATTACATTTAAACCGGAATTGAAATATACTTGGCAGACGAAATATTTATGTACACCGAAAATTTGGTAGACCGCCTACTAGACCGGCACCGAATTTTTTATGGGGATCAAACTAATAAATCATGAATATCTCATTTATGTAGCTAATTAAATTGCGAGTTGTGTAGGCAAATTATCCACTGGAAAATGTTTATGAAGCGGGACTTAAATTTTTTGGAATTAGAGCGGAGCCATTAAAAACACAAACAACGAATTAAAGATAAATAAAAAATGAAAATGAATTTTTCGAGTTTCGAACAACTCTCCAATGTAAATTGAACTTGAAGAAGTTTCGAAATGAAAAAAGTTCTTCGATATTAAATTTGTACGTAACCTACCTCAAGAGGCGGAGGTTGGAATATTTTATTTATTGGTGCGAATTATTTATCTCTTAAATAAACTTTTGGGATAAATAGATTGGGGCTTTTCGGATTGTTAGGTGTATTACAAATTACTTATAATAAATTTAATTTACGTTTATCGCTATCTAAATTTTATACGGTTTTAATCAAAAAATGTATTTTTTAAGATATGAAATATGCGAAAAATATTTTAACCAATGAACGTATTATGTATTTTTATTTTTTTAACGTATATGCATTGGAAGTAGATATTTAAATAAACTTACAGTTTTATTAACAATTTTGGACAATAAATTAAAAATAAAATGTATAATAGATTCTAATACTATATACCTAATACCTAATTATTGAATTAATGTGAATTTATTTGTGCGCTGTTTATGTAAATACCAAAAGTTACTGCAGAATTAGTGTTTAATTAGTCGACAAAGTAAATTAATTAATCCTAATTAATAAATTTGTTTATTTTGAACTCGTTATTAAAACAATAAATCCACCTACTCTCCTAATATCAACGTTAATTTGGAAATATGTAGCAAATCCTCAATATTAGACTTCGTGGAAAATATTATTTTCAAAATATTTAGCAATTTTCTTACACTGTTAATTTCTGATTAACTTCAAAGGTTTCAATTTACCTACATATTTAATATTTCTATTTAACCATTATTTTTTACAACAGAAACTAATTTTGTGAGAATTCATAACTGCGTTTTCATAAATCTAATGATTATGTAATCATGTATTACCTTTTTAACAATGTTGAAAAAAAATAATAAATTCATAACTTTTGTGAATACTTTAGTATGTATAAGTGAACATTTTATATATTTAAACTAAATTTCTTTTTCCCCAGCCAGTAGGAATTAATATAAACTATGTTCGGTAATGATTATTAGATAAACATATGTACTACTTGGTAATAATAAAACAAAAATGTATTTGGATTGGGTATATCAAAAGTCCCGCAATTCGAGTTACGCCACCTCAGGCTTACATAATTCATTTTAAATCAAAATTTACAATCTTTTACGATTATGTTGTTAGGCATTCTTTTATGGAGATAAGAAAAGTGTTTTTATATCATCAAATTTCACAATCACTATCGTTCACCTACAATAAAACTACAAATAATATTGTGAAAAAACAAAGTTAATTGTTAAATTATTAGCAAATCGGGATTCAATAAATTTCAAAATTTGTTTATGCTAACGATTGAAAACTGTCATAAGTTTATTAACTTCTTTAACTAATATTTAACTAATATTCTTTTGATTCATGTGTACAGTTGGAAGATAATACAAAAAATTATGGTAAATACTTATAACACAATATCTAGGCCTTTGGAAGTTCTCGTCGAAGTTAAGCGACAGTATTTGAGGGCGTCGCAGGGTGGATGGGTAAAGGACGTTAGCCACATTATTATGCGTTCGTCTCGAAAATTTATTAGGTCTCGATAAAAAAGTTTCCTTCAAAAGCGTTCGTACAATGCTCCGTTGAAACGTCAACATCAACATAAATTAGTGCGGAGAACGAGGGCGAAAATAGATCAGAACTTTGCTCCAGGTTAGGAACGAACGATCCAACGATCCGTAAAACAATTTCGTTCTGCTTTCATCGGAAAAAATAAATGTCGTGAGAAAACCGCCATTGTTTTATGAATCTCATGAATACTAAGCCCCTTCAGGTAAATACTTTGCTTGAAAATATTCAAAATATTCGAGAATTACATTAGATCGCTATTAAAATATTTGTTTTAAGTAAAATAACTTCGTTAGTTGGAGTTTTTAGAAATAATACATCCTATTCTCGCGATTTATTTTCGCTTTTCTCTCCATATCTATAATTCATAAACCTGATCTTCCATTTTTGCATATTTTTTATTATCAATCCTCTTTCATGTGAAACGAACCGTTGTGGTATTATTCTCAGTATCATCAGTCGTCTCTGCCAAACATTTTCTTCTTCTGCCACTTCCTCTACTTTCATTTTTTTACTACTTTATAAGACAAATAAATTATATTATCGCTCGAAAGCAATTGTCCTCACTCGGACCAGTGTCAGCTCATTTATTAAAGGAAAAACACAGGAAAAACATCCGATTAAGTTCGGCGATTTCCCTTTCGGGCTACTTGTTGATTTTACCGAATTTAATTTGCCGAAATTGTGAAAGAGGAATTTAATTCATGTCCCTGATGGAGGTACATGATGTCCACGTTACGGAAATGAATGCTGTAAATTCTTTTGGATGGTTTCCAAAACAAACTGACAGTTATTTGTAGAAGACGGCATACATGAAAATAAGAAGGGGTTAGGAGGAATTCGTCAGTAATAATTGTTTTTGGGTGAAATAGTGATCAATATTTTACAGTTAGACTTTGAAGATCTATAGCGAACAAAATTTAAGCTCCAACAATTTTCATAATTTGTTTCAAATTGCCATTTTATTATTATCCTACGCGCTGGCTCCTCCCTCCAGGCTAGAAATTTCTCTCCAGTTATACATATGATCAAATGGCGTGGACTCAACTTTAATTTATTTTCAAGTTTTAGTAGTGATGTGTAATTTAATTGGAATGTTTCCTTAAAATTAAGCCATGTTTCGGATGCCACCGATGATTTTGTTCGTGTAAATCATAATTTAATTAGCCCTGGTCATACACACAAATGGTAACAGCGAATCTAGCGGATTATAGATGCTGATTATCGGTGGAATATGAGAATCGGAGCCATTTATTTATTTAATTTCGCGGCTTTTTTATTCATTAATATTTACTTACTTTCTTGCGAATTTCGCGTGAAAAAACAAATATTTGATATGGCAATTTTCACCGACCGCACTCAAATTATTTTTTTTAAGTGCACTTTGTTTTCTACACGACAAAATCGCAATACCGCACAAACAATCCATTTATCAAGGATTTTTAACGTAAAAAAATTAATTAATAATCCTTGATAACCCAAATGCATTTTATAGGTATTGTGCAAGCAATGCGTAAGGTTAGACCGATTTGTCTTTTATTCGTAATAAATCTTCCGTTTGGTCGGAAAATAATAGTAAATGCATTTATCTAACTGGCACTAGGGCAATACATCAACATGATAAACGAAGTTTGTTGTTTTATCGGAAACTTTTGTGACAGGGTTTAATTCAGTAGCGCAATTTTCCTGCAATTTTTGCCCGCGTAAGTTCAATTCAATGACTTAAAGAGAACGAATTTGATTTACAAGCAATTCGTGAACGCGATCAAATCTTCACTTATCGCTTCCTTCCTATTTAGAAAGTTAATCTTATATCCTTGTTTACTTATTTACGAGTATCCAATTTACTATGTTGAGCTTTTCACGGCGAGAAGGCTGCTAATATATTATACAATAACCACTCTAAGGTAAATTTTGGAAAGTCAGTTGGGAAAACTTTGATAGAAATTAACTCCACTTAACATAATTTATTTTTAATGCAGGAAAGTTTATACTCACAGTAAGGCACTATAGACCAGAGGAATTCTTTTGTGGCAATGAGTATATTTAATATTTAGTAAAATACAACATTGAAGAGTATTTCTACATTACTAATATCACAAATATATTTGAAAATATAGGTAACTATTGATTCCTACCACAATGGGGATTAAGTTTGGTGTTTAAAATCAATAACTGGTCTCTCTGCTTGGTTTGCATGAATCGAAAATACCCGAGTTAATACTTTAATTCCTTTCCAAAACCTATCAAACATTTATAAACCTGTTGAATTAGGGTTCAACAGTTTCCAGACGAACTCAAGAGATTTTATCTAGCCAGTATTTTAAAAATAATCACGCGTACTTCTACATTTACCTTACAAATAATTCATGCTTCAACTGTTCATTCGTCAAAGTGATTTTTCTTGTAATACTGGCGGAAAATAATATTTATGAGTTCTTTGATGTCTACGTAAATAACTGCTCTCATCATTAAGTAAGTACGCGTATTACACGGCTAATAAATTTTATGTTTATAATGAGAGTTATTCTGAATGTAAATTTCCTATGCATTTCAATAAATTATAAATAATCGATTCATAAATGCTCTAGTAAACATACGATAGAGCTGGTAGTGTTATTGGAGAGTTATATGTTTCCCAATAATGCTGTAGAATTCGAATGTATTCGAAAAAAATCCTTGAGATCTTTTTTTGATTATCCACTGGCATTTTTTCAAATGTGTCACACACTAAAATTCACGCGAGACATTTAGGAATGTTGTATATGCACAATAAATTCGGAATTTAATT